AACATTAGACACAAAGGGATCGTGACAGAAGGTTTACGGAAAAACCATATTATTTCATGGTGCTGTACCCATGGTCCGGTACCCTCAAGTCTCATCAAATTATACACTTTACCTTCAGGCTATTTGTTATATGTAATTATACCTCATTAAAGAGAGTTTCAAAACATAAAATACTAGAAGCAAATGTGGGAAAGTTCCTGTCCAATCCTGAAGTGCATGGGTGTATATACATACATATATGTATGTATATATTGATACATACATGTATGTATGTATATGTTCATACATACATACATATGTATATACAATCAAATATGTCTCAGCTTCAAAAAGAATGAAATCCTGCCATTTGCAATGATGTGGATGGAGCTAGAATGTGTTATGCTAAGTGAAATGTGTCAATCAGAGAAAGACAAATATATGATTTCACTCATGTGGAATTTAAGAAACAAAACAGATGAAAACATGGGAAGGTGGCAGGAAAAGAGAAGAGTGGTAACAAACCACATGTGTCTCTTAATGATAGAGAAAAAAAAAGTGAAGTTTCATGGAGGGAGATGGGTCGGCTCTGGGCTGGATGGGGGCCCTGTATTAAGAAGAGCACTTATTGTGATGAGCAGTGGGTATTGTATGTAAGGGATGAATCATTGAATTCTCCCAAATCCAAGAATGCACTGTATGTCAACTAAGACTTAAATTAAAAAAATAAATAAAGTCGTAACAAGAGATGAAGACGAACACTACCTCATATTAAGGGGACAACCAAACAAGAAGATCCAATGATTGTAAATTTTGATGCCCCCAACATGCAACTACCAAGTATATAAAACATTTAACAATAACCATAAAGGAACTCATTTATAATAATATAATGATAGTAGAGGAATTTAACACATCACTCACATCGATGGACAGAACCTGTAAACGGAAAATCAACAAGGAAAGAGTGGCTTTGAATGACACACTGGACAGATGGGTTTAACAGATATATTCAGAACACTCCATACTAAAATGACAGAGTATACATTCTTTTTCGGTGCACATGGGGCATTCTCCAGAATTGATCACATTCTAGGTCAGTAATCAGTCCTCAACAGGTACCCAAAGACAGAGATCAGACCAAGCATCTTTTCTGACCACAAAGCTAGGAAACTTGAAGTTAACCACACACACACACACACACACACACACACACACACACACACACACTAAGGGGGAAAGGCCACAAATAAAGGGAGGTCAAATAACATGCTACCAAATGAATGGGTCAAACAGGAAATCAGTGAGAAAATACACTGAAACTAATGAAAATGAAAATACACTGGTAAAAATATTTGGAATGCGGCAAAAGCAGTCTATGATGGAAGTATATAGCAGTACAAGCCTACCATAAAGAGCAAGAAAAATCCCAAACAATCCTAGCTTATAACTAAGGAATGAGAAGAAGAGCCGAAGGAAGGAAATAATAGAGATTAAGGCAGCAATAAGGGATATACAAACCAAAAAGACACTAGACCAAATCAATGAAACCAGGAGCTGGTTCCCTGAAAACAGTAATCAACATGAAAACCTCCTAGGCATACTTTTCACAAAGAAGAAGGAAAGGACTCAAGTAAATAAAATCACAAATAAGACAGGAGAAATAACAGTCAACACCACAAAAATACAGTTAGAAGATAATATTATGAAAAACTATATGCAACAAATTGGACACTCTGAGAAAAATGGACAAATTCCTAGAAGCACACAAACTACCAAAACTGAAATGGGAAGATACATAAAATCTGAAAACAGAAAGAAATCAAATCAGTAAGAAAAAAAATTTCCCCCCAACACAAGAGTTCAGGGCCAGATGGCTTCACTAATGAATTCTACCATCCATTTAAGGAAGAGATAATATGTATTCTTCTCGAATTATTACAAAAAATTAAAAAAAGAGGGAAAACTTACAAATTCATCTTATGAGGCCATCATTACCCTGATACCAAAACCAGATAAAGCCTCCACTAAAACTGAAAACTGCTGGGGTGCCTGTGTGGCTCGGTCGGTTTAGTGTCCAACTCTCAATTTCGGATTAGGACATTATCTTACAGTGCATGGGTTCGAGTCCCACGTTGGTCCCTGTGCTGGCAGTGTGGAGCATGGCCAGGATTCTCTCTCTCCCTGTCTCTCTGCCCCTCCCTCACTTTTATGTACTCTATGTCTCTAAGTAAATAAATATTTTAAATATGTGAAAAAATTTTAAATAAAACTACAGACCAATATCGCGATGAGTATGTATGCATAAATTCACATAGAAATACCTTCAAATTAAAGGCAACAATACATTAAGAGAATCATTTACCATAATGAAGTGGGATATATTCCTGGGCTGCAAGCGTGGTTCCACATTCACAGATCAATCAACATGATGCACCACAATAATAGAAGAAAGGATAAGAACAGTATGATTCTTTCAAGACATGCAGGAAAACGATTTGACAAAATGTCACATCCATTCACGATAAAACCCCCTAGCAAGTAGATTGGGACTCAGCATACCTGCACATAATAAAGGTCATCTATGAAAAACCCACAGCTCAGCTCATCCTCAATGGGGAAAAATTGAAAGTTTTTCCTCCAAGGTCAGGGACAAGACAGGGATGATCCCTCTCACCACTGTTATTCCACATAGTACTAGAAGTCCTAGCCAAAGCAATCAGACAACAAAAAGAAATAAGAGGCATCCAAATTGACAATGGAGAAATATAACTTTTACTATTTGGAACTGACATGATACTTTCTATAAAAAACATGAAAGACTCCCCCCAAAATTGTTAGAATTGATATATGAATTCGACAAATCAAAATATACAGAAATCAATGTACATAAATCTATTGCATTTCTGTCGATGAATAATGAATTAACAGAAAGAGAAAGTAAGGGATCAATCCCATTGACAGGTGCACCAAATACCCCAAGATACCTGGAATAAACCTAACTAAAGAGGTAAAAGATCTGTACTCTAAAGGCTATGAAACACTGATGAAAGAAATGGAAAAAGACACAAAGAAAAGGAAATACATTTCATGTTCACGGATATGAGGAACAAAATACTGGTAAAAGGTCTACACTCCACAAAACAATCTACACATGTAATGAAATCCCTATCACACAAACAAAACATTTGTCACAGAACTGGAACAAATAATCCCAAAATTTGTATGGAATGACAAAGACCCCAAACAGCCAAAAGAAATTGAAGACCAAAACTAAAGCTGGAGTCATCACACATCTAGACTTTAGGTTATATTACAAAGCTGTACTGAACTGAACAGTATGGTGCTGGCAACCAACAACAACAACAAAAACACAGACGCAGAGATCAATAGAATGGAAACCCAGACATGAACTCACACATATATGGTCAATTAATTCTCAATAAAGCAGGAAAGGATATCCAATGGGGAAAAAAAGATACTCTTGGGAAACATGTGTGGCTCCAAAGCGTGTGATTGTGGATTCAGCTCAGATCATGATCTCAGGGCAGTGCAGAGCATGCGTGGGATTCTCTCTCTCCATTTCTCTTTGCCCCTCTTCTGCATGTTCTCTCTCTCTCTCTAAAATAAATACATGAAGTTAAAAAAAAGTCTCCTTAACATATGGTTTTGGAAAAAGTAGACAGCAACCTGCAAAACAAAACAAAAATACAAACGGACCACTTTCTTACAACATACACAAAAATAAATGCAACAGGAATAAAGAAGTATGTGTGAAACCTGAAACCATAAAAATCCCAGAGGATACTTAACACAGGCAGTATCTTATTTGACATTGGCTGTACAAACATCTTTGTAGATATATCTCCTGAGGTAAGGGAAACACAAGCAAAAATAATGGGACTTCCTAAAAATAAAAAGCTTCTGTCACAAAGGAAATAATCAACAAAACTAAAACGCCTACAGAATAGTATTTGTAAACGACATCTGATAAAGGTTTACTGTCCAAAATATATAAAGTTATACAGCACCCAAAAAAGGAGAAATCCAATTAAAAATGGGCAGATGACATGAATGGACATTTTCCCAAGGTGACATAAACATAGCCAAGAGACACATGAAAAGATGCTCAGCATTACTCATCTTCAGGGAAATACAATTCAAAAGTACAATGAGATAACACGTCACATCTGTGAGAATGACTGAAATCAATGAATGATGAAACAGCAGGTGTTGGCAAGGATGTGGGGAAAGAGAAACCCTCTTGCATTGTGGGAAGGAATGCAAACCGGTGCAGCCACTCTGGAAAACATCATGGAGATTCGTCAAAAAAAAAAAAAAATGGAAATGGAAGTATGTTACGATCCAGCAATTTCACTACGAGGTATTTACACAAAGCGTACAAAAATAATTCTTCAAAGGGATACATGCAGCATGATGTTTACAGCAGCATTTTCTACAACAGCCAAATTACAGAAACTGACCAAGCATCCATCAACTGATGAATAAACTGAGATGTAGTATATGGAATGTAATATTATTTAGCCGTAAAAACATGAAATCTTGTCATTTGCCACGAGGTGGATGGAGCGAGAGAATGTTATGCTGGGTGAAATAAGCCTGTCAGAGAAACACAAATAGCAGATGATTTCACTAACACATGGAAATGAAACAAAACAAAGGCGGGGGGGAAGGAGACAGTGACAAACAAACAGACTCTTAACTAGAAAACAAACTGAGGGGTTCCACAGTGAGGTGGGGGAATGGGTGAAACAGCTGCTGGGGATTAAGAAGTGCACCTGGGATGAGCACCAGGTGACGCGTGGAAGTGTTACTCTATATTGTACACCTGAAACTAATATTACACTGTATGTTTACTAAGTGCAATTTAAAGATAACATGAGGTTAAGACATCTACCTACCGGGTTTTCTGTAGTTTTCAATCGCTTCATTAGGTTGGAAAAATATCCATAAATTTTTTAAAAAGCATGTATGATGTGGGGGATAGTTTGTGCCCTTACCTTGGTCTCTGGTTCCAGCAGGACTCGGAAAGTGGGTCCCAGCTCATTCTTCTAGAAGGTCCTGAGACAAAAATTTCGTGTATTCAAGTCCTAATGGAATGCAGCTCCCGTTCTTCTGAATTTCTGTCAGGGTTTCTTCCCGGAAACAAGCCTGAATCTGGAACAAACCATTGACTGCATCTATGAGGTGATGTCGTGGGACCCGATAATCCACTAGTCCTTTCGTAAAATACGTCTCGTTCAAATACTGCCCAGGAAGTGGAGGAATGAAACACAGGAACCCAGAAAATGCAAGGGCCTGTGCTGCTTAGCAACCAGCTTGCCCAGGGAAGCCACCCGGCGCCCCCTCCTCAGCTTTCGGTACAACAAGGCAGCTTCTCTCTGGCGACTCAGGAGATGCCAAGTTGCTGCAAAGCTCCCCAGGTCTCCCCTGGGGTGGGCGGCAGAACCTGCTGGAAACGCAGCTCTGATATGTGTCCTGAGACAGCGGTAGAGGCCCTGTGTCCTCTGGAAGCAACAGCAGCCCTTCCTGATCTGAAGTGCCCTGGGTCAGAAAAGCCGATGTTGCGCCCTCTGCTGGCCATCACTGCCTAGGCAGAGGAACCCGCCCCTCTGGGTCTGTGGTCCTTGAGCTCTCTCTGCTGGCTACCATGGGAATTCCTGCAATGTTGAAGGCCTTGGTCGCTCAGCTGAGGGACTGAAGGTGCTCTGGGCAACTCAGCCTGTTCTCCACATTGGGAAGGATCTTAGTGACAGGGCTGGGACACAAAGAAATATTTTCCTTCTCCTTTCTTTTGAGTGAAGAATGAAACCGAATTTATTAACATAATGGAATAATTTGTAATGTTTTAAGCAATGTCCACAGAAAAATAGACCGCCCATTTACACATGCTGAGCAAGTAATTGTGTTTACCACCAGAGTGTTTAGGTTAGATAAAGAATTGACACCTTTGAGACAGAGATAACTGCTTCCAGCTATGGAATGAATGAGTCCTAGGGATACAAGAGACAGCCAATGGAATAGAGTCAATCCTGTAATATTATTACTGCATGCTTTCACAGGATAGCTACACTTGTGCTTAAGTACAACATAATTTATAGACATATGGAATGACTACAATGTATGCCTAAAACTAATACAACAAATGTGTGAAGAATATTTCAATGAAAAATCGACATTCTTTACGCTATCTTTAATTTATCTTTTTTTTTTGCCAATAAACTATCATTCCTGGGGCACTTGGGTGGCTTAGTCAGTTAAGCGTCCGACTTCCCCTCAGGTCATGATCTTGCAGTCCATGACATTGAGCCCTGTGTTAGGTTCTGTCCTGACAGCTCAGAGCCTGGAGCTTGCCCCAGATTCGGTGTCTCCTGCTCTCTCCCCCCCTCCCTCCCTCAGGCTCTCTCCAAAAGAAAAACAAACATTTTAAATTAAAAAAAAAATCATTCCTAATTTAGAATCTGTGAAATTCCATTTATACTAGATTCTCTAATATCACCATCTTGATGTTAGAGCTTATCTGAATAGTCACTAATAATATCTTTGATGACACATGTGGCAGGGTCAGAATGCAACTTATAGGGAGCTACGCATCTGTTATGAATTTACTGTATGTATCCTTGGCTAATATTTCCAATGAAATGTGCTTTAGGGATACAGATGTATGAAATAATGTCCATCAGTCATATAGGTCAAATTCCTATAGGACCATTATGCCTTCAATTACTAATTGCCATCTCTTCAAAAATAAAGAAAGCTGGGACAAGAAAATGTCTTTGAATTTGATGTAAGAGAAGACTATGGTGTTTTAAAGTGTTCACCTACCATCTGGCATCCTCAGTTTGGCAGTGGACAGGAGGATAGAAACCCACGATCTTGATGCACACCGCTAGTTCCAGAGGGAGAATATGGACCTTTTTGTCAAATACTTTTTATCAATATCAGCAGTTCAACTCTGCCAGCTCGAGACTGCCGGACCTGGGGGCAACACAATGCCTGATGCCTGGGTTCAGAACATGAGGAAGACCAGCTGGTAGGGAGAGGCAGGGAAATCCAACAGGGCCTGGGGCAGTGAGGGAGATGGGTCCGGGTCCCCTCCCTACAGGGCAGGCTCTGGCGTTTACCTGCCAAACAGCAGCACACTCTCCCTCAAGACATCCCTCTCCATGACAGAACATGAGGCTGTGCCCCCACAATTCCAGGAGAAATGAGGGATACCCATCTTTTCAAATGCAATAGCCTCTGCAAAGCTTGGCCCCTGGGATGTTGGAGTCTTGGAGTCATGGAACGCTGATGCCAATGATACCTGCCATTTCTGCCCCAGCACTCAGAGACACTTCCTACATCCCCTCTCTCCTGGCCCATCTCACCCCATCCACATTCCTGGACCAGGTCTCTACTTTCTCCTTGTACTTCCTCTTTGTCTCTGTTTCTTTCTAACCACATCTCTCTCTATTTCTTCCTTTCACTCTCTAGGACTTTCCCAATTCTCCTATCACAAATTCAATGTCTCTCTCCATGCCTGTCTCTTTCTCCCCCTCTCACCAGGCTTCAGGATATCTGCTCTGTGCATGCAGCCCTGTCCAGGAGCACAGGGCCCTCCTGTCTCTCCCTCTCTCATGTCTTGTTTTGTCCCAGGCCCTGATCACAATGGAGGATAATCCCCTGTACAGCAGCTGCTCATGTTGACATTTGCTAGAGCAATGCTGGCAGCATGTGGACAGCCAGACACTTACCCTTGGTAGCCCCGCCATGAGCCAAAAGCTCCAAGAGGGCTGGCTGCTTCCCTAAGCTGGGAAGAAAAAGGGGCTCACAGGGTTCAGTGTCCCTGGGGCAAAGTGGATTGGCTTGGCCTATGTAGAAGGAGCCATAGGCTTACACACAACTCTCCTGGGTGGTGTCCAAGGAACCTAACTCAGACCATGGAGCTCTGCCCTCCCCATCCCTCAGTAAGGCAACAGGGGAAACTTTGTGGGACATCATGTGACTCACCACAAAAGCTGCGCCATTTGCCCCTTGGAGACCACCTAGATTGGTGCTATTGGGGGAAGCTGCTAAGGTGCACAAGGGCACAAGAGCTAAGTTAATGCAGGGCCTCCACACTGGTCTCCTGAATCCATTCCTCAGCATCGGAAGAGACCCTTTCCTGGAGACAGATACCTGCCCTCCTCATCAGCACGAACCCCATCAACTAGCACGCACATCGTGTGCTCATGAGTATCTATCTACAGATATAACAACCACCACCAGATCTCCGTAAAGGATGTATCCAACTCCTCAGATGGAACTATAGGTCCCTTCCAGGCATTACAACCCCAAAGAATGATCTGTCTTCTTCCACCAATCATGTACATACTATGTGTTGGCTAACTGCATATACAAGAACCCCAAAGTATATGCTTGATGGGGAATGAGTGTTGATTTTCCTGGAAGCAGATGCTGACACAGAAACACAACTGTGACAAGTGTATTAGGGGACATTAGGAAGAACAAAGTGGAGTGGACAGGGTGGTCAGGGAAAGCATTCAGACCAAGGGGCATATTAGATACCATCTCTAAATACATAACCATAGCTGTTTTGTAATGGTTCAGTGTCCTCTTCAAATTTCAAACGGATTGTCCTCTATGTCAAAGTAATTTTGACTTATTGCAAAGGGATCTTCTGTTCTTCTCTATGCATTTTGTCTTCTACAATACATCTGTGGCCTTGGATGAGCACATATTTGTGTGGCTGCATTTGTGTGTCTACCTCAGATCTTAGATGTAGATGCCTGAATATACACATTCTCATACTTATCTTTTCCTTCTTTGTAAAGTACGACCTGAATTTTAATAGAAAAAAACACAGGTGTTTTTGTTGTATCTTTTGAAACAGGAATTGCCAATCTCCCAACCTCAGGCATTATACCCTTAGTTTCATGAAACTGAATGAACATCTGTTGATGATCTTCTGTGTGCAGATACATTCATTTCCACCCTGAGAAGGGTGAATGCCCACTCATCCCATACATTTTACAAATTCCTTATGTGTTTAACCACCTCCTCATCGCACTGACCTCAGAGACCAACATTGTTCCTGCTTCTCAAATTACAATGCTGAGGCTCTGAGTTGGCCCCACTGAGAGCTGTCATTAGGGCTGAGACAGCAGGATCACAGGCAGTGCCTCTGGAAATTGTGAGGGAAGTTTCAGAGATGTACACCTTCATGCAGGGTCATGAACGTAGGTTCAGGGGTGTGGTGACAAGATTCCAGCAGGGGTGTTTCCTGGTCAACCCTCAATTCCCTGCTAAGAGTCTGATTCAGGCTGAAGGCCAAGGAAGCCACACAGCTAATCTACAACCTTTCATCACATTTAGTCTCACAGAGGCACACAAACTTAGGCAGACAAGCATCCCATAAGAACCAAGGTAAACTACAAATCTCCAGGGCATTCTTTCACAAGGATCCAGAACCTTCAGGAGAACCTACAAGGGAAACAGCAGTCTTTATTTAGATAATGAACTAGGTGCACTTTGACCACAATGACATTTCAGAGATGATACCTGCATGAACTATCCTTGAACCCATACAGCATCTCTGTGTGGATGTCACCCTGAGCTCACTCTTCCTGCCCAGGTTGTGGGTCCTGCCACAAATGGCCTCCAACTCCATCTCACTGAGTCCAACACCCTCCCCTCTGCACCATCTCAGCTCTCCCTTCTCATGCACAGTCTCCAATTCATTCCCATGAGATTCATGTCTCCATCTCTTGTACTTGAGGACCCATTACTGGAGCTGCCAGTATTGTAGACCAGAAGCTCCATGTAATTTAACGCATGTGACTCTCTCCCCATTAGGACAGTTGAAGCCCCTGATGGTAAGGGTTTGCCTCATCTCTCACAGAGCCAGCGACATGGACTCTCTACTGGGCACATCTGCAGAACTGATATACCTGCTTTTCTATTAAAAGACTCGTTCCTTCTCCACAAAGGATATATGCAGCCCAGCTCAGTAATGGAAACGACACAGCCCAACATATGTATGTCCTGAGAAACTTGAGGAATCTTAACAGTGTCCTCTTCCAGCAGTGCCCTTGCATTACAAAGCGTGTGAGGCCATCTCTACGTCTTCTCAAAGACTCAACGACATAGAAGCTGAACATGCTGAATATGTCAACTCATAGAGCTCAGTTCATCTCACAAATAGTCAAGGTGGAGGTGGTGGGTCCTGTCCCTGAGAACATCAAGGAGCTGGAGGTAGCCCATAGAACCCATGAACAGTGATAAAGAGTATCTGTGGGGGATGGACCTGGGAAAGAAGGAGGTCCTCTTGCATCCATAGGGACCTACAGAAGTGACAGGTGTGTTGGTATGACAGACAGAAGCAGAACTCCCACAGGAGCTGAAACAATGAAGTAGGTGTCAGCATCTGGCCCCTTGTTCATTCATGGGTTGTAGTAGAACAGAGCATCAGTGTCAGAAAACTCTACCCTTCCATGAGGTCCCACCTATAGCCTGAAAGTACCAGATGCCACAAGGAGAAACTACTGTCGCCACACGTTCCTGCCCATTTTTAAAAATGCAGAAAGCCAAGGAGTCCTATTCTAGAAGATTGATGGCAGTAATGCCAGTCTAATAAAGGAACGTATTCCAGAGAGGCAGGCATCTGTGTCCAGGACCCCTCTGGTGTCCTCTTCCACCAGATCTGAAGACTTTTTATTTGCACATTGAGAACAGATAGAACATGAGGAATGAAAGAAATGACCAGAACCACACAGTGATCCAGGGCCACCCCAAGGTCAAAGCTCTACCTGCCATCCCATGCCTGTCCTCACTCTGCTTCCCTCCCTGAAGAAGACATCTTCTGTGCAAGGCCACAGAGACCTCTGAGGAGATGGGGGTTCCTGGAATCCAGCATTGGGTCCTGGATATGTGTTTTCTGAGGGAAACACATTACCTGTGCATATTCATTGGTCTCAAGTATGTTTATCTTAATTCACAGGTAATTCAGCTTTTAAATACAATATGAGTTGCAGAGCTATTTTGTGCCATTTATACAGAGGTAGAAATTCTACATAAAAGAATGAACAGAAACATGTCTCAATTTCAGGTGCAAAACTCCCATAAAGTATCATGAGACAAAGTACCAATTACAACTGCTCCCGGGACACAAGAGAACCTACTCATATAAACACAACTGAAGAACTCTGTGAGGTATTGGCCCTGCAGGTAATCACTGATTCTCTCCCTTCACGACTGCAGTTCCACGTACATTTTTTATTACACGTGACTCTTCTGAAAATTCAGAGTATTTCCACCTAGGGGACAACTGGAGAAATTCTCTATCGTACATTTACCAACACAGAAGGACTAGTAATGAATTCTGAAATTTTTCTAAGAACCCTCAGCACTGCACAAAGCACACAATATGATGTTGGAAAGACTTTTATCTATTCCAGTCATGAGGCTCATTGCAAACATTCTGAACAAATTCATGGCGTACACTGAAATAAGAAAAAATGAAAATAATCAGGATAATCCCATGTAAAGAAGGTGCCGAAGGAATCAGACACTCCAGAAGACTTGAGGGTGCAGTGAAGTGTCATCCTCCTCAAGTTATCTCCACAAACACTGAGAGCCACGTGGTCCTCAGCCTCCATGCACTTGTGGTGTCCAGAGGCACTAGCTAACATGATGATGTTACATTGGAGAAGCCTGGAGGCTTGTGAGGACATAAATCAAACAGTAAAGAAAACAGTAGACAAAAAAACACAAAAAACAAAAAACAAAAAACAAAAAACAAAAACAAAAACAAAAAACCCCAAACAAAAACAAAACAAAACAAAACAGACAAGGCCAGATAAAAGTTTCCAGAAAGTATTGCAACTGAAACTGGCAACAGAATTTACCTTGTCTTTTTCTGCATCCTTGGTAGAGACACAACTGATATTTCCCATTGGAGCTGCCTCACGTCTTAGGTCTCATAAGGGATGGAGGTTGATGGAGGTTGATTCTGACTTGCATAGACTGTGTGGAAGAAAAACAAACCATCCTGAACATGTTTCATTATATTCAACTCATTCACATTCTCGGGTCCCTTACCAGGGACAGAGTGTTTTTCATGTGCCTTGGGTGACCCTTGAGGACAAGAGGGAGATCTGATCCTGTCTCTTGAGGAAGGTTTACAGGGACCTGGTTCAGGTGTTTTAATAGCTAATCAAGCAGCTGTGAACAGCTCAGGTCTCAACTCGCTAGAAAGTATGTTAGGAGTGTGCTTCATCCCTCAGAGAGCCCAGCACATGATCTCTGTACAAGCGACATCCTAGGGAGTGCTATGTCTGTCAGCACGTATAAGACCTCTTTCCTTCTCTATCAGAGACACGTGTTGCCCAGCTCACTATGTGGAAATGACTTCCCATTTCATGCATGTCCTGAGAAACTTGAAGAACATTACAACATCCTCACTCAGGCTGACCTAAAAGCCCTGTGGTGCCATCACTGCATCTTCTCCAACACATAACAAGTAAAAGACAAAACGTGTTTTATAA